TGCGTGAGATCTCGCCTGTGGTGAAGTACCTTGGGCTGAAGATCGCGCGCGACAGGCCGGCCAGGAAGCTGTGGCTGCACCATCAGGGCTACGTTGACAAGCTGCGCAGGCACTTCATTGACGAGGAGCAGGGCGGTCGAGTCCCGAAGACGCCGGTCTCGGTCGACGCCTACGCTCAGCTGACGTTCGACGATGAGGAGGCTCAGGAGCATGAGGAGGAGGAGTACCGGCAGAAGGTCGGCTCGCTGCAGTTCGCGGCGACGACGACGAGGCCGGACATCGCGTTCGCCTGCAGCAAGTTGGGGAGTGGCCTCATGGTGAGGAGCGACCAGCATTGGCGCGAGGTCGACCGCTGCCTTGCCTACCTCACCGACACCCGCGACACCGCCCTGGAGTTCGGCAGTGGACCAAAATCGTTGGAGCTGATCGACTACGTCGATGCCGACGACGCGGGCGACAAGCAGAACCGGACGAGCACGGGAGGCTACGTGTTCGTCTACGGTGGGGCCGCCGTCTCCTGGTCGAGCTCGCGCATCAAGTGCGCGACATTGTCATCGACCGAGTCGGAGTACGTGGCAGCCACGGACGCTGGCAAGGAGGGGCGTCGACTTCGCTTTCTCCTTGCGGAATTCAAACTGCTTGACGGTGGGAAGTCGAGCGTCCTCCGCGTCGACAACAAGTCGGCAATCACGCTCGCTGCGGGCTTGGGGCTGACGGGCAACCTCAAGCACATGGAGCAATGCTACGCGTGGCTGCAGCACATGGTGAGGCGCGGGAAATTTGTGCCGGAGTACATCCCGACCACTGAGCAGCCGGCGGACTTCCTGACGAAGGCGCTGCATTTTCCGACTTTCAACCGGTGCTCGGTCGCCATCGGCCAAGTTTGTTTGGCCGACGTTGGCGACGGCGACGACGAGGTGCAGCAGTAGGTGTCGTGCCCTTCTGCATGAAAGGTGCGGTGACGGCGTGCTGTGTGTGGGGTGCACGCTGAGGACGAGTTTTCTCCGTGGAATACTGCCGTATGGGCTGGAGGCCCAAGCGTGAGCGTGGGAGAGGAGTGTTAACAGGAATGGAGTCTTGGCCCCGCCCTCGCTGGGGCAACGCCGACGACTTGGTCGGATGTACGGGAGTAGCAGCCGACCGTTCACAGTGGGAGAGCTGCTCAACAGGCTACGTCGAGCTGCAGGGGACCGCTGTGGCGTTGCTGTCGACCAGGGAGCTTGACAGCTGCAACTAACTTCCCTGGGCAACGGGTGGGCCGTCCGGAAAGTCGACGGAGCAGTCTGTCGACCTATAGTTCGACGGGGAGGTCTGCGGAGCATCCCGTCGACCTGCACCTTGACGAGGAGGTCCGCGAAGCATCTCGTCTACCTGCAGCTTGATCAGGAGGTCGACGGAGCAGTTCTGGTCAACGGAAGGTGTCTGTCGACCAAGGGGTAGACCAACGGGAGCTGTGGTCGACCAGAGGCACCCGGTGGTCGACCGGAAGCCCCTGGTGGTCGATCGGGTTGACCGGGTAACTTGCTCGACGAGTTCTGCGAAAGCACGCGAACGTCGTCGAAGTTGCGATGGCGAAGGCGACTGCGGGCTGGTATCCTGAAGTCGATGTGGCTCGTCAGGCGCAGACATCAGCCGACGGATGCCCAACGAGGCGAGTCGGGCCAATCGTCTGCACGCACCTGCGAGCGTGCGCACTGCTGTGTTCTACGGGACAACGCTGGACAGCCGCTCTGCTGCAGCGTTGGCACGCCGTCGACCTGCAATATTGGCGGGTCGCCTTTCTGCAGTGCAGGCGCGGCTCCTCTACGCAACGCTGGCGCGCGGTCGACCAAGCTGCGTTGGCGGTCAACCAGGCTAGCTGCAGGGTTGCTAGGTGCCTGATGTAGTCATTCTGTGATTGCTTGTTGAATCATTCAGTAATCCCAACTTTGCTAGTGGAAACTCTTGCCGATTTCTCCCGTGAATGTGCAAGCACAAAGGAACCAAGCAAAATTACGATCACCTCTAGTAGTTCGTGCCTACCCCCGTAGTCTAGCTCACTACCGTTGTAGAGTGACTCTTCGCAATAACTGCATGTAGTTCTAGCTGTATTGTAGTTATTAACTTTGTAGGTGGTGCACCTCTTCACTTGTTTTCTATATGTACCCTCGTGCTATAGTGAACACCACCATTCTCGACACTCCTTGCCACAACTTACTCGACTCCCCTTGGCCTAGGCTACTAAGCCTAGGCCCTCACTTAAAACTAGTCCTCACTTACCTACCTTCTTTGACATGTCCTGGCCTGTGGGCCAGCCTCTCGCTTCCGCTGCTGTTTTTCCGGTCGCGCGCCTCGGGCGCGTGGCGATTTTCGTTCTGTCCCGCGCCCGGGTGGCGCGTGACGTTTTTTCTGCCCGTCGCGGACCCACCCCTCGCGCTCGCGATGGTGCCCTGAGCCGCCGTGGACCCGCCCCTGGCGCCCTCGACGGTGCCCTGAGCCGCTGCGGACCCGCCCGTGGCGCCCGCGACGGTGCCCTGAGCCGCCGCGGACCCGCCCCTGGCGCCCGCGACGGTGCCCTAAGCTGCTGCGGACCCGCCCCTGGCGCTTGCGACGGCGCCCCTACCTCACCCGCGCCTGCCCTCGGAGCAGCCGCCCTTTCCCTACCCGCGTCTGCCCTCGGAGCAGCCGCCCCTGCCTCACCCGCGCCTGCCCTCGGAGCAGCCGCCCCTGCCTCACCCGCGCCTGCCCTCGGAGCAGCCGCCCCTGCCTCACCCGCGCCTGCCCTCGGTGCAGCCGCCCCTGCCCTACCTGCGCCTGCCCTCGGTGTAGCCGCCCCTCTCCTTCACGCGCTTGCCCTCAGTGCAGCCGCCCCTGTACTTCACGCGCCCGCCCTCGGTGCAGCCGCCCCTGCCCTTCCCTGCGCGCCGCCCCTCTGTGGCCGTGGGGCGGCTTCTTCCCTGCCACCCACCCACCCCCCCCCCCCCCCCCCCTCCTCCTTCGTCTTCCTGCTGCGCGTGCAGCCTTGGGGGGGAGGGTATGGAGGTGGCGGGTATGGGGGTGATGGGTGTGTGTGATCCCCTTTGCCTCCTCCTCCTTTCTCTCCCACTACTGCAGCTGCCGCTGGGTGGGGGAGGGTGTGAGGGTGTGGGGAGCCGGGGGAGTGTCACTAGGGACGTTGAGGAGTGTGCAGAGGGGGTTTGGGAGCATGGGGGAGGTTCCAGGAAGCAGCCGTCGTGAAGCCAGCAGCCTCACCTGCCGCCTCCCAACTCCTCCTCCTCACTACCCCTCTAGTGCTGCCACTTGTCTTTATTTTGTGAACTTGCATCTGCTCTTGCCTGCTGTTGCTATTTTCTTTGTCTGTGATGTACCCCCGCAGGTTGTGTCTTGCACTTGGCTATTCGTGCATGCAGTTACGGGGGGATGTCAGAATTATGTTGTTATAACTACATGTAGTTCTAGCTGTAGTGTAGTTATTAACTTTGTAGGTGGTACACCTCTTGATTTGTTTGCTATATGTACCCTCGTGCTATAGTGAACACCACCATTCTCGACACTCCTTGCCACAACTTACTCGACTCCCCTTGGCCTAGGCTACTAAGCCTAGGCCCTCACTTAAATCTAGTCCTCACTTACCTACCTTCTTTGACAATCTCTGCATCCATGGATGTCTACCACTGAGAGGAGTACTCACCCGCGATCGTCTCAGCGTAAGAGCACGGGGTCGGGATGTCTGGAGCATTCGGGTCTCCCTCAAGGGCAAGCAGCATGGCCACGAGATGAGGCGCAGCGGCTGCAAGACACTCAAGGTCCTCCTGCATGTCCTCAAGGACGTCCTTGCCAAGAGCACACTCACCCCCGGTGGACGGAGGACAGACAGACTCAGACTCAGCAACAAGATTAGCGGTGTAGTCTAGACGACAGGCAGCAGCAAAGTCAACAAGCTTAGCGACGAAGGAAGACGCAGCAGCAGACTCAAACGACGGGTCAGTGACAATGGTGGCTAGCAGACGTGTGACAGTAGGGTGAGCAGCATGAGCACGGTTAGACTCAAGGTCTGGAACGTCAAGTAGAGAGGACGCTGGAGGGGATGGCAGGGGAACACACTGCGGAGCAAAGGAAGGATGCAGAGCCATGAGGTGTGTGCTTGGGACAGCCGGCGGATGCTCACAAGGAACACGACGACCAGTGCGGACAGTGCGAACAGGCGAGACAGGACGAGACGCAGGCTCACGGCGCTCAGTAAGACCCCCTGTCTGCTCAGTGTAAGGAGAAGGAGCAAGCAGCGGTGAGTCAGGCTGTAAAGGAAGACCAGTAGAAGACGGGAGGCTAAGAACTGTCATAATCCCAGCCACTAGACCATTGGGATAAAAGGGCTTGTTTGTGTAGCGGGTAAGTGCGCCCATAACCCCCCAGGCCAACATGCCTGTAACCCTTTCCTAGGATCAATCGGGGATCACCAATGGACCTCTAACACCCCCCCGCACTGGGATGCCCGAGGTGCACACATCAGGATTCGAACCCAAGACCTTCGCTCTGATAACATGTCAAAATCCCAACCACTAGAACATTGGGATAAAAGGGCTTGTTTCAATAACGGGTCAGTGCGCCCATAACCCCCCAGGCGAACGCACCTGTAACCCTCTCCAGGATCAATCGGGCATCCACATTGTAGATCTATTGACACCCCCCCACAATGGGAGGCCCAGGACTAAGCAGAGCGGCAACGGCCTACATGTGCATACACCGGGAATCGAACCCGAGACCGCTCTGATACCATGTCATAATCCCAACCACTAGACCATTGGGATAAAAGGGCTTGTTTGTGTAGCGGGTAAGTGCGCCCATAACCCCCCAGGCCAACGTGCCTGTAACCCTTTCCTACGATCAATCGGGGATCACCAGTGGACCTCTGACAAGAACCTGGCGAAGCACGGAGTCAGGCGATGGCAGGGACGAAGGCGACGTCGGAGCGAAGAAAAGTCGCGGCTGTGCAGGGCCACCAGCACCAGTAGCTCTAGTACCTACAGCAGCTCCAGAACCTCCAGCTCCAGCGCCTCCAGCGCCAGCACCTCCACCATCTCCATAACCTCCTGCGCCAGCACCTCTAGTACCAGCACCTCCAGCAGCTCCAGAACCTCCAGCGCCAGCGCCTCCAGTGCCAGCACCTCCACCAGCTCCAGCGCCTCCAGAGCCAGCACCTCCAGTACCAGCACCTCCATCAGCTCCAGAACATCCAGCTACATCACCTCCAAGACCAGTTTCACTAGCAGCAGCACCCCCACAACCGGCACCTCCAGTCCCAGGGCCTCCAGTCTCAGTGTCTCTAACAGCAGCACCCCCAGAACCGGCACCTCCAGCTCCAGGACCTCCAACCTCAGAGTCGACAGCAGCACCTCCAGGTCCAGTAGTACCTCCAGCCCCAGCAGCTCTAGTACCTCCAGTACGAGCACCTCCGGGACCAGCGGCTGCTTGAACCCCAGTAGAAACACCTCCAGTGGCAGAGTCACCAACTCCAGTGCCTCCTGCAGCAGGGCCCCCAGCTCCATCAGCGCGACCCTGACGGCTAACGTACCACTCACGCAGCTGCTGTGGGGAGAGAGGGACAGCGCCAGCTCCAGTGCCTCCAACGCCAGCGCCTCCTGTAGCAGGGCCCCCAGCTCCAGCAGCGCGACCCTGACGGCTAACGTACCACTCACGTAGCTGCTGTGTGGAGAGAGGGACACGCCTACGAGAGCGCTGCGGCGAGGCACCAGCAGAGCGACTACGGAGGCGACCGCTCCAAGGAGTCTGCTCACCAGGCGCCTCAGTGCCCCCAGGCGCAGCACCCCCAGACTCAGCACCCCCAGGCTCAGCACCCCCAGACTCCTCACGCCCAGGCTCAGCACCTCCAGGCTCCGCACCCTCAGGCTCAGCACCCCCAAGCTCCGCAGCCCCAGGCTCAGCACCTCCAGGCTCCGCACCCCCAGTCTCAGCACCCCCAGGCTCCGCACCCCCAGGCTCCGCACCCCCAAGCTCAGCACCCCCATAAGCAGGACCCCGAGCAGGACCACCCCCAGCAGGACCTGAGTCACCAGTGACCTCAACCGGCTCAGTCAAGGGAGGAGGGTCTACCTGAGACACATCTGAAGGAGCAGGACTGGGAGCGGGGAGGGGGTCTAGCTGGGGAGGACCTGGAGCGAGGAAGAGCGGCGGGGGGGGGGAGAGGGGCAGTGCGGTAGGGAAACAGACAGTAAAAGAGGACCGTCTCATCAAAGGTGACGTCCTGAGACGGAAAGATACGACGCGAGGCAGGGTCGTAAAATTGCCAACCAGGGGCGTCAAGGGGGAAACCAAGGAAGATGTAGGGAATGGCGCGAGGGGAGAGCTTGTCCACAGTGGTATTGCGGACAAAGGCACGAGCATCCCAGACCCGGAACCGCGACGCATCGCCAACCTCCCCCATCTAACGTAGTGAGGGCGAAGTCTCCGGAACGAAGACATGGGGCCAAAGGTTGAGCTGATGCGCGGCGTACGGGACTGCAAACGACCATAAAAAATGGGGGGCAGCCGCATGGATCATGGAGGTACAAGCGACCTCCATGACTGAGCCAATGCAGCCTCAGCAACCCCATTTTGCTGCGGAGAGGCCGGAAGCGTGAACGTCTGGCGGATGCCGTGCTCCTCACAATAGGCTCGCAAGAGGTCAGAGGAGAACTCACCACCTCTGTCAGAGTGCAGACGCAAGACAGGAAAGTCCAACTCGAACCGCTCGCGAAGCTGGAGACGAACAGCGCGGATCCAAGGGATCAAAACAGCAGGGACATCCCCCTTGCGCCGCAAGGGGAAGACCGTGGTGTAACGCGTGTAGTCGTCGACTACCTGCAGGAAGTAACGCTCGTGGCCGTATCCACGGACGCGGGCTGAGCCCCACACGTCGAGGTGGAGAGTCTGCAGTGGAGCCTCTGTGGGAGGGAACAAGGAGGAGTGAGGAGCGGCGCGCTGCCGCCCCTCGACGCAAGGAATGCAGGGCGGCGCAGGTGAGGGAGGGAGGGAGGGCAGAGACTTGGGAAGACCAGAGATCAGTAGGCAAGAGTGCATGCCACCAAGGCGAGGCAAGGAGGGGTGAACAAGGCGGTGGTGCCAAAGGAGAGTCTGGTGCGACAAGCGGCGACACTCACACTGGGTAGCTACCTGAGCGGACGCGTACAACTGAGGAGACAAAGGGGTGTTGTGAGAAGCAGTGGTGAGGGTGTACACACTGGACCGCGCACGTGTGAACGTGGCCAGGTGGCGGCCAGTCCAAGAGCACGTGCAGATCGCCATACGTTGTCCTCTAGGAGTAAAGGTGTCAACCCAATGATCTTGAAGGACGGTGTTGCTCACAAGGTTCGTAGAGAACAAGGGGAGGTGGAGACCAGACAGCTCACCGGACGGGACCACCAGACACGGAAGCACATTGGTGGACCGTGCTAGCACTAGGCCCCCAGAGGGGTCAGCTAGTGAGACAAGGACAGGTGCAGGGAGGGGAGTGACTGTGGTGCTGTCGCAAAAGAAACAGCGGGAAGCACCGGAGTCAAGTGTAAAGGTCTGCAAGGCCTGAGCGGACGCACTACCAGGGAGAACAGACTCACTAGCATGTAGGGCTGCAGGCTCTATACTTGGGGCTATACCTGGGTCAGGCGGTACACACAAGTAGCAGTCACCCTCAGCACTAACAATCAATGCATACATGGCAGCAAGAATAGCATCATAGTCGAGATCAAAGATGGGAACATCAAGCCTAAGCAGATCTGCCCAAGGGGGAAACTTAGTATGTTACGAACAAGAAGATATTGCACTATGAAAGTTGGAGTACAAGTAGGAAACCCTAAATTTGTGTACCCCCTAAAGGCTAACCCACTATAGCCTACACAATAATAACACATATAGTGTTTGACACACCCCTATAGGCAAAGTGGGGGAGAACAAGGGGTCACAAGACCAGTCAAGAAAGGCAAGCAAGCTCAGGGTGGATCACAACGTCACCACACTCTCCGAGCACAAGCAAAGGGCCACAAGGCCAGTTCACATGCAGAAGTATATACAAGTAGTACAGGCAGCAAGGGTGATCTCAACCTAGCAGAGCAAACAGGCAGGAGTATATATAGAGATCACAGTACAGGCAAAGCCTACAACAAGTGAGACAAAGTGGGCACTAGCCCCAACAAAGTACAGAAGCGCTGATGATCACCAGGCTGAAGTGCCTTGGTGAAAACATCAGCGGTGTTGGCCTGAGAGGCCACGTAGCGCAGACAAAGCTGACCACGCTGCTGAAGCTCACGAGCAATGAAGTAACGGAGAGCGATGTGCTTCGTTCTGTGCTCCAGTCTGTGCTCCTGACACAAGGCAATGGCGGCCTTGTTGTCGACGTACAGCACTGGAGGAGAACTAGGCCGCTCTCCAAGGTCGGTCAGCAGGTAGGTGAGCCAGCATAACTCCTGTGCAGCCATGGCTGTGGCGTAGATCTCAGCCTCACAACTGGAGCTGAGAACCAAAGACGGACGAGTAGAGCGCCACGAAACTGAACCAGAGCCAAGGCTGAAGGTGTAACCCTGTGACGACCGCTGAGTAGCCTGGTCGTCAGCCCAAGAAGCGTCTGAGTGCCCAGTGAGAACAACTGAGCTCCCTCCTCCAAGCACGAGCCCCATGCCTGATGTACTGCACAATTAGCGCAATACCCTCTTTGCAGCATCCCAGTGCACCTTTCGATGACGACCAGGAGCCACGTAACGAGCCACAAGGCCAAGAGGGTATGCTAGGTCAAGATGAGTGCAAGTCATCAGGTACATGAGGCAACCAACTAGCTCTAGGTAAGGACCACTCGACTCTACGGACTCATCCGAAGGCAGAGCTGAGAGCGAGTTACCTATAGCCAGAGGAGTGGCCTGTGCTGAGGACCAGGTGAAGCCAAAGCGCTGAAGGACCTGCTGCACCACGTATGACTGAGTCAGTGTGATGGTGCGGCGTGCTCTGTCCCGCGTGATCCGCAAGCCAAGGTACCTGCGCAGTTCACCCAGGTTTGTGCACGTGTGTCTCTTCTGCAGCTCCGACTTCATGTGGGCGAGAGACTCAGTGTCAGCTGTGGCAAAGACCAAGTCGTCGACGTACACGAGGATGTAGAGCGGCGGAAGTGAAGTGTCGGTGCGTAGAAACAGCGACGGGTCAGCAGTAGAAGGAGAGAACCCAAGTGCCGCAAGAGTAGTCCTTAGTGTGTCGTGCCACTCACGTGGCGCCTGGCGGAGACCGTAGACCGGTCGGCGGAGGATCCACTGGGTACCAGGAGGGAACGACCCAGTGAAGCTAGGAGGGTGGCGCACCCAGATCTCCTCGTGCAGACTGCCCTGCAAGAAAGCTGTGTTGAAGTCAAGAGAGTGAAGCTCGTTGTCACGATGAGCAGCGACGTGCAGCAGAACCCGAAGAGTGGTCATCTTCGGGGTCGAGGAGAAGGTCTGGAAGAAGTCAACTCCCTCTCGCTGACTGAAGCCTCGAGCAACGTAACGCGCCTTGAAGACAGGCGGAGAACCCGGCGGCCGCTTCACCCTGAAAATCCAAATGCCACTGACGATATTCGCCCCACCTAGTCTAGACGACGAGGACAGACAGACTCAGACTCAGCGACGAGACTGGCAGCGTAGTCTAGACGACAGCGAGCAGCAAAGTTGATAAGCTCAGCAACTAGGGCAGACGCAGCAGCAGACTCAAACGAAGGGTCAGTGACAGCAGTGGCAAGGAGACGCGTGACAGTAGGACTGGCAGCACGAAGAAAGTCATACTCAGGGTCAGCAAGAGCAGGAAGAGAGGACTCAGAAGGAGACGGCAGAGGGACACGCTGTGAAGTAGTGGAGGGACGTAGTGACATCCGGTGTGTGCCAGGGACCGATGGCGGACGCTCACGCGGAGGACGACGACTGGTGGAAGTAGTGCGAACAGGGGACTCAGGACGGGACACAGGCGACACAGGGCGAGACTCAGGCTGACGACGCTCTGTGAGACCGCCTGTAGGACTAGTGTAGGGAGAAGGACGAGGAAGTGGCGAGGCAGGCGGTAGCTGTGACTGGGACTGGACCGTCGTTGGACACTCTACAGAGGGAGGGGGACAAGGCGGAGGTGACTGACCAAGAACCTGCTGAAGGAGTGGAACAAAGTACGGCCGCAGCCGTGAGGTGCCCCCTGCAGCAGCAGAGACAGCACTAGAACCTCCAGGAGCTCCAGGTGCACCCCCAGCACCTCCAACGTTCAGGTCTGCAGCACCAGCAGCAGCTCCAACGCCCGGATCCGCAGCTCCAGCAGCAGCTCCAACGCCCGGGTCTGCAGCACCAGCAGCAGCTCCAACGCTCGGGTCCGCAGCACCAGCAGCAGCTCTAACTCCAGAGTCCGGAGCACCAGGAGCAGGGTCCGCGACACTAGGAGCGCCACTCCTAAGACTGCAGCGCCGTGCGTACCACTCACGAAGACTCTGGGGAGAGGGCAGCTCCCGCCTAGGCGAGGAAGCACGAGCACCAGCTCCAGCAGCACCTCTCCTGAGGCTGTAGTACTGTAAGTACCACTCACGCAGCTGCTGTGAGGAGAGAGCTCCTCCAGGCGTAGCACTCCCAGGCTCAGCACCTCCAGTCTCCGCAACCTTAGGCTCCGCAAACTCAGGCTCAGCACCCCGAGCAGGACGAGAGTCTACCGCTACCTCGACAGGCTCAGCCGGGTCTACCTGGGACACACCTGAGGGAGCGGCACCCTGAAGGGGGAGGGGGTCTACCACAGCAGCACCTCGCGCGAGGAAGAGAGGCGGGGGAGGGAGCGGGGCAGTGCGGTAGGGGAAGAGGCGGTAGAAGGGTACCGACTCGTCAAAGGTGACGTCTTGAGAGGCGAGGACACGGCGCGAGGTAGGGTGGTAAAACTGCCAACCAGTCGCGTCCGGAACAAAGCCTAGGAAGACACACGGAATAGCGCGGGAGGAGAGCTTGTCCGCGGACGTATCGCGAACAAAAGCTCGGGATCCCCTGACCCGAAAACGCGACACATCGCCAACCTCTCCCTCCCAACACAGTGTCGGGGAGGTCTCCGGCAAAGAGCCAGGGGGCTAGAGGTTGAGCTGATGCGCAGCGTATCGAGCTGCAAACGGCCACAGAAAGTGGGGGGCAGCCGCATGGATCAAGGAGGTACAAGCGACCTCCATGACCAAGCCAATGCGGCGCTCAGCAACCCCATTCTGTTGTGGCGAGGCCGAAAGCGTGAACGACTGGCGGATGCTGTGCTCCGCACAGTAGGCTGCGAAGAGGTCGGAGAACTCACCACCTCTGTCAAAGTGCAAGCACAGGACAGGAAAGTCTGAGTGGAAACGCTCGCTGAGCTGGAGACGAGAAGTGCGGATCCAAGGGATCAAAACATCACGGACCTCACCCTTGGTGCGCAAGGGGAAGACCGTGGTGTAGCGCGAGTAGTCGTCAACAACTATCAGGAAGTACCTCTCCTGACCCTGACCACGGACGCGGGCTGGGCCCCACACGTCCATGTGGAGCGTCTGCAAGGGAGCAGTCGTCGAAGGAAACGAGGAGGAGTGAGGAGCGGCGCGCTGCCGCCCCTCGACATAGGGAAGGCAGGGAGGAGCAGGCGAGGCTGGGAGGGGAGGGAGAACCCTAGGAAGACCAGAGACAAGGTACCGTTTGTGCATTGCCCGAAGGCGCTGCTGAGAAGAGTTGAGCAAGAATGAATGAAATATGAATGAAGTGAGTACAAGTACTAACCCTAATTGGGTTGTACCCCTTATGGGCTACCCCACTATAGCCTACACAATATGCAAAAGCTATATGTTCTGACACACCCCCATAGGCAAAGTGGGGGAGAACAAGGGGTCACAAGACCAGTCAAGCAAAGCAAAGCAAAGCAAGCTCAGGGTGGATCACAAAGTCACCACACAGTCCGAGCACTAGGTCAAGGCCACAAGGCCAGTTCACATGCAGGAGTGCACACATATATATAACACTAAACAAGCAAGAGCAGGTATATATATATATGCAAGAGTACAAGTAAGATCAAGAGGTGAGCAAGTGAGGTAAGACAGGTACAAGTCCTAGCTGAGTGCAGAAGCGCTGATGATCACAAGGCGGAAGTGCCTTGGTGAAAACATCAGCAGTGTTGGCCTCAGAGGCCACGTACGCAAGTCGCAACTGACCACACTGCTGCAGCTCACGAGCAAGAAAGTAGCGGAGAGCAATGTGCTTCGTTCTGTGCTCCAGGCACTGCTCTAGACACAAGGCCAGCATGGCCTTGTTGTCTACGTACAGCACTGGAGGAGAACGAGGCGGCTCTCCAAGGTCAGTCAGCAGGTAGGTGAGCCAGCGAAGCTCCTGAGCAGCCATGGCCCCGGCGTAGATCTCAGCCTCACAACTGGAGCCGAGAACAGAAGACGAGCAACTAGCCCGCCACGAAACAGAGCCGGAACCAATACTGAAGGTGTAACCCTGTGACGACCGCTGAGTAGCCTGGTCGTCAGCCCAAGAAGCGTCCGCGTGCCCAGTGAGGACCACTGGACTCCGCCCTCCAAGCACTAGCCCCATGCCCGACGTACTGCACAAGTAGCGCAACACCCTCTTCGCTGCAGCCATGTTCTCTGGTCGGTGTCTCCCAGGAGCAACATAGCGTGCAAGAATGCTAAGAGGGTATGCAAGGTCAGGTCGTGTGCAGGTCATCACGTACATGAGGCAGCCAACAAGCTCTGGGTACGGGCCACTCGACTCTACGGACTCATCCGAAGGCAGAGCTGAGAGCGAGTGGCGAGTAGACAGAGGAGTGGCCTGAGGCAAGGAGTACGTGAAGCCGAAGCGCTGAAGGACCTGCTGCACCATGTGTGAATGAGTCAAGGTAATGGTGCGGTGTGCTCTGTTCCGAGTGATCTGCAAGCCAAGGTAGCTGCGCAATTCATCCAGGTCAGTGCACGTGTGTCTCTTCTGCAGCTCGGACTTCACGTAGGCGAGTCCAGCAGTGTCAGCTGTGGCAAAGACCAAGTCGTCGACGTACATGAGGATGTAGAACGGCGGCAGAGAAGTGTCGGTGCGCAAAAACAACGACGGATCAGCAGTAGATGGAGCAAACCCAAGAGCCGCAAGCGTAGTCCTCAGTGTGTCGTGCCACTCACGCGGTGCCTGGCGGAGACCGTAGACTGGCCGTTGGAGGCTCCACTGGGTGCCAGGAGGGAAAGTCCCAGTGAAGCCAGGTGGACGGCGCAGCCAGATCTCCTCGTGCAGGCTACCGTGCAAGAAAGCAGTGCTGAAGTCTAGAGAGTGGAGCTCGTAGTCGCGCTGAGCGGCTATGTGCAGCAGCACCCGAAGAGTGGTCATCTTCAGGGTGGGAGAGAAGGTCTGAAAGTAGTCAACTCCCTGCCGCTGACTGAAGCCACGAGCGACGTACCGCGCCTTGAAGACAGGTGGAGAGCCCGGCGGCCGCTTCACCCTGAAGATCCACATGCCACTGACGATGTTCGCCCCAGGAGGGGGAACCGCGTCAACGTAGGTGCCTGTGAACTTCCAGGAAGCCATCTCTGCATCCATAGTTGCATGCCACTGAGAGGAGTAGGGACCCTCTATGGCCTCCGCGTAAGAGCGCGGAGTCGGGATGTCTAGTGCATCCGGGTCTCCCTCAGGGGCAAGTAGTACGAACGCGAGATGAGGTGAAGCAGCAGCCAGACACTGGAACTCCTCCTGCCTGTCCTCAAGGACGTCCGTGCCAAGAGCACACTCACCCCCCACGGACGGAGGACAGACAGACGCAGACTCAGCAACTAGACTAGCAGCGTAGTCTAGACGACAGCGAGCAGAAAAGTCGACGAGCTCAGCAACAAGAGCAGACCCAGCAATGGACTCAAAAGAGGGGTCAGTGACGACAGTAGCAAGGAGACGCGTGACAGTAGGACTGGCAGCGCGAAGGGAGTCCGACTCTGGGTCGGCAAGTGCAGGAAGAGAGGACTCAGGAGGAGAAGGCAAAGGGGCACGCAGAGGAGCAGTGGACGGACGGAGAGACATCCGGTGCGTGCCAGGGACAGGAGGAGGACGCTGACGCGAACCATGACCACTAGCACCAGCAGTACGAACAGGCAACGCGGGACGAGACGCAGGCTCACGACGCTCAGCAAGACCTCCAGTAGGACCAGTGTAAGGAGAGGGAGCAGGAAGTGGGGAGGCGGGCTCTAACTGTAACTGTGATTGGACAGGCGGTGGACACTCTACAGGAGGAGAAGGACCAAGAACCTGCTGCAGGAGCGGAACGAAGTACGGACGAGGCCGCGCGGCGGCTTCAGACACAGCAGGGACAGTACCAGCACCCTCAGCACCTCCGGCAGCACCAGCGCCAACAGCACCTCCAGCGGCAGGACCTCCAGCAGCACCCGCAGCAGGACCACCGCCAGGACGGACAGTAGTAGTCGCAAAACCAACACCCGCAGCAGCTCCAGCTCCATGCGGACCCGCAGGCCCAGCAACTCCGGGACCGGCGACACCAGCACCCTCAGCGGCCGAAGAAACTCCAGCTCCAGTAGTACGCCTCCAGCGGCGAGCAAACCACTCGCGCAGCTCCTGTGGAGAGTGCGGCTCTCGCCGAGACGAAGCACCAGGAGAACCTCCAAGCCCAGCTCCGCCACACACCACAAGGAGAGGTCCAGCGGCCGCAGGCTCTGCACCTCCAGGCTCAGCAGCTCCAGACGCAACACCGCCAGGCTCAGCACCCCCAGGCTCAGCACCCCCAATCGCACTACCCCCAGGCTCAGCACCCCCAGGCACAGTACCCTCAGACTTAGCACCCCCAGGCTCAGCACCCCCAGGCTCAGCACCCCCAGGCTCAGTACCCACGCGCGCAGCACCCCCAGAGTCAGCACCCCCAGGCTTAGCACCCGCAGCAGTACCAGAGTCACCAGCAACCTCGACCGGCTCGACTGCGTCTACCTGGGACACACCTGAAGGGGCAGGACCCTGAGGGGGAAGGGGGTCTACCGGGGGGGGACCTGGCACAAGAAAGTGCGGTGGCGGGGGGAGGGAAGGAGTGCCGTAGGGGAAGAGGCGGTAGAAGGGGACTGACTCGTCGAACGTGACGTCCTGGGAGGACAGAACACGACGAGAGGAGGGGTGGTAGAACTGCCACCCTGGTGCGTCAGGGGGGGAGCCAAGGAAGTCACAGGGAGCAGCACGAGGGGACAGCTTGTCCGCAGACAAGTCGCTGACAAACGCCCGAGATCCCGAGAAACGGAACGCAGACGCATCGCCGACCTTCCCTGTCCATAGCAGAGCTGGGGAGGTCTCCGGTCTGGAGACCGTGGGGTGAAGGTTGATTTGATGCGCCGTGTACCAAACCGCAAACGGCCACAGAAAATGGGGGGCAGCCGCATGCATCATGGACGTACGAGCGACGTCCATGACCATGCCAATGCGGTGCTCAACAATCCCATTTTGCTGTGGAGAGTCTGGAAGCGTAAAGGTCTGGTGGATGCCTCGTGCACGACAGTAGGCTCGTAGAAGGCCAGAGGAGAACTCTCCACCTCGGTCAGAGTGCAGACGCAGAACAGGAAAGTCCGAGCCGAAGCTCCTTCTGAGCTGGAGACGAGCTGCGCGGATCCAGTCGATCAACACCTCAGTGACATCACCCTTGCTGCGCAAGGGGAAGACTGTGGTGTAACGCGAGTAGTCGTCAACCACCAGTAGGAATTAGCGCTCGTGACCCTGTCCACGGACGCGGGCCGGGCCCCACACATCCATGTGAAGCGTCTGCAGCGGAGCCTTTGTCGGGGGAAACTGAGAGGAGTGAGGGGCAGCCCGGAGGCGCCCCTCGACACAGGGGACAGAGGAAGGACCAGGCCCCGAAGGAAGGGGAGGGAGGGCTTGGGGAAGACCAGGGACAAGGACACGAGAAGCCATGCCCCGAAGACGAGGCAGGGAGGGGTGGCCAAGACGGTGGTGCCACAGGAGAGTCTCATAAGACAGGAGGCGACACGAGCAGGGGGCAGACTCAGGACCAGACCTGGACGCAGCAGCAAACACCTGACCTGACGCAGCTACCTGGCCAGACGCAAGGACAGGAGGAGACTCGTTGGTCAGGGTGTAGAGGCTTGACCCCGGTCGACGTGAAAACGTGGCGAGGTGTCGGCCTGTGCGGGCGTCCGAGCAGTGGGCCACCCGCTGACTCGCAGGAGTAAAGTGGTGAACCCCCGCATCCTGCAGGTCAGCACTTCTCACCGAGTTCGTCGAGAACGAGTGGAGGTAAAGACCAGACTAGGCGCCAGAGGGGGCAGCCGGACACGGGAGGACGGTGGAGAAGTGAGAGAGGACAGGACCCCTAGAGGGGTCTGCCAGGGAGACTGCAACCGGCCGACCAAGCGGCGTGAGTGTGGTGCGGTCTCGAAAGAAGGAGCGAGAAGCCCCTGAGTCAAGTGTGAAGGTGAGGGAGGCCGAAGCCGACGCGGTACCTGAGAGCGCAGCCTCACCAGTACCTGAGAGCGTAGACGCGCTGGCACCTAGAGCAGCAGCCTCACTAGCACCTAGCGAAGCAGTACCAATGCTCGGGTCGGGCGGGAAACACCGGTAACAGTCACCCTCATCACTAATAGTCACAGCATACATGGCAGCAGGGATAGCATCAAAGTCAAGATCAAAAATAGCTACACCAGCCCTAGACAGCTCTCCCCAGCGGGGGATCTCACTAGCCTCAGGGAACTGCTGACGCCAAGTGTCCGTTAGGCGGCCAAAGCAGCGCTGGGTGGGGTGGGCACCCCCACACTGCTCACCCGCGCGGTCGCCGAAGCGAAGGACGTAGGTGCATGGACCAAAACCCCCACCACGCTCACGCTGCGTGTACCACTCACGGAGCTGCTGAGGAGGGGGGATGTCCCGGGAACGCTGCTGGTGCTGCTGGTGCTAACCACCACCAGAGCCGCTCCGCTGCGAGGCACCACCCCGACCAGCTCCACCTCCTCCGCCACCGCCGCCTACACCCCCGCCACCGCCACCGCCTCCGCTCCCACCGCTACCGCCTCCGCCGCCTCCGCCTCCGCTGCCGCCACCACCACCACCACCTCCGCCACCACTCCCACCGCCACCCCCACTCCCTCCGCCGCCTCCACTGCCACCTCCACCGCCCCCTCCAGTCCCACCCGCGTCCTTGCCCCCCTTGCCCTTGTTAGAGCGGCGTCTCTCGCTAGGGGCAGACGCCGCACCGACCGACTCAAGACCAAGAAGGTCGGCCACAGCAGCAGAGGCAACAGAGGGCAACAGGGGGGAAGGGGAACACCCCTCAAAGATGGGGGTGCGAGGGTCACCCCGAGAGGCTCCTACAGCGACTATGCTCTTTTCCACTGCTAGGAGGGCCTTCTCGAGGAGGTCAACAGTGAGAGTGGTGGGACAGACTGAGAGGAAGTGGTCCCTGACTACACGGAGGCGGGTGACTATGTAATAGAGAGTGATGTACATGGGGGGGGGGGTTCTTTGCGCAGAACTCAGCAGGAAGCGCGGCGCGGTAGCGAGTGTCACTAGTGCGGAGGTGCGTAATGAGGTCAGCGACTGTGGGAAAGGCAGCAAGGTCAGGGAAAAGGTACGGTAGCATGAGGCGGCTCAGTGCAGTAGTGGCAGGGGAAGAGTAGCGCGCAACTACAGCGTCGTACAAGGTCTGAGCACTCTTGTACTGACTAAAGTGCGCGCGCTCAGTGGTAGGCAGGTGGCGACGCACAGCAAGACGTGCAGCAGCATCGCAGGTGGCCCACTGAGAGCGAACAGTGGGGTCAGCATCAGCAGCAGGGGCAGGAGAGGCGCTAGAGGTGAGGTCAAAGAGAGAAAGACCGTCCGCCCTATCGCACTGTAAGAAAAGCTGCAGGTCGTCGACCCAGACCTCAAAGTCAATGGCTCGACCCTCAGCGTCAAAAGCGAGGACACTAGGGGTAGCCATGACAACGGTAGAGTAGCAGTGCAAGCAGTAGGGGAAGGGCACGCAGTGACAGAGGGGCTGTGCTCACCGGACAGGGCTGCTAAGGCGGCTTGGCTGTAGGGCGGCCCGGCGGCTCGGCTACGAAGGCGGCTCGGCTGCGAAGGCGGCTCGGCTGCTGGGCGGCGCGGCTGCACAGCCGCTCGGCTGGTGGGCGGCCGGGCGGCTCGGCTGCGGCGCGGCTCGGCGGCAGGGCGGCTCGGCTCCTCTGGTACAGGGCGGCTCGGTGGTGCTGCTGCAGGGCGGCGCGGCGGTCGGCGGCTCGGGCGTGCCGCTGCAGGACGGTGCGGCGATCGGCGGCTCGGGCGGCGGGGCCGCAGCAGACGGGCAGCGGGGCCCGTTGAAGTAGGGCGGCGGGGCCGCAGGTGTAGGGCGGCGGGGCCGCAGCAGACAGGCGGCGGGGCCACGACAGTAAGGCGGCGGGGACGGAGCAGTAGGGCGGCAGGGCCGCTAAAGCAGGGCGGCGGGGCCGCGACACTAGGGCGGCGGGGCCGCGACAGTAGGGCGGCGGGGCCGCTAAAGCAGGGCGGCGGGGACGCTAGGGGAGGGAGGGCCGCTTGGGCGGCTCGTCGAGGTAATAGCCCGAGGCGCGACTCGGGATGAGCGCGCTTCGGGCAGGAAAAAAAAAATTCGAAGTGGTGGGCCCTAGGCACAGTTCCCACAGGGGATCTTGCTCGATACCATGAGAAGAGTTGAGCAAGAATGAATGAACTATGAATGAAGTGAGTACAAGTACTAACCCTAATTGGGTTGTACCCCTTATGGGCTACCCCACTATAGCCTACACAATATGCAAAAGCTATATGTTCTGACAGCTGCACGGACGGGTGACCAAGGCGGTGGTGCCAGAGGACTGTCTCGTGCGCCAGAAAGCGGCACGAGCAGGGGGCCGACAGCTGACCTGACGCAGCTACCTGGGGGGACTCAGTAGTCAGTGTGTACAGGTCCGACCCTGGCTGCCATGTGAAGGTCACCAGGTGACGGCCCGTCCGAACACACGTGCAGTGTGTTACGCGCTCGTAGGCAGGGGTGAACAGGTGAACACCCCTGTCCTGGAGCGCACTACGCGCCACCAAGTTCGTAGAGAACGAGGGGAGGTCGAGACCGGAAAGTGTGCCCGACGGGACGGCCGGACAGGGGAGGACAATGGAGGAGGTCGCAAGGACTGGACCCCTAGAGGGATCAGCGAGAGAGACTGCAACGGGCCGAGAAAGCTGCTCAAGAGCCGTGCGGTCACGAAAGAAACAGCGGGAGGCACCTGAGTCTAGTGTAAAGGTGTGTAGTGCCTCAGTTGACTCAGTAACAGGGGGCGCAGACGCACCAGCACCTAGAGCAGCAGCCTCACCAGCACTTGGGGTAGCAGACACTCTAGCACCTAGAGCGGTAGCCTCACCAAGTCGAATGCCCGGGTCGGGCGGAACACTCAGGTACTGGGCACCCTCTCCACTAATAGACATCACATACATGGCAGAGAGAATAGCATCAAAGTCTAGAGCAAAGATATCAATGTTTTGCTTCATCAGATCAGCCCAGCGGGGCAGCTCAGTGGCGTGAGGGAACTGAGTACGCCAAGCGTCATCAAGGCGTGAGAAGCAGCGCTGCGTGGGGTGCGCCCTCCCACACGTTTGACCAGTGCGGTCATCAGTGCGGATTACGTACGTGTTGCTAAGGCCACCACCCCCCCCCCTGCCGAGTGTACCACTCACGGAGGTCCTGGGGCGACGGAGAGTGCTGTAGGCTCTCGCCACCGCCAGTGCCTCCACGACCAGTAGTGCCGCCACCACCTCCTCGACCACCTCCTCCCCTGCCGCCGCCCCCACCATCGCCCCCACCCCTGCCACCGCCCCCGCCGTTGCCGCCACCACCCCCACCGCTGCCACTAGCCCCACGAGTCCCACCACCACCCCCACCGCCACCACCACCCCCACCACCGCCTCCCCCGCCGTCACCTCCGCCTCCCTTGCCCCCTTTGCCCTTGCCGCTGCAGCGCCCGCTCGAGGCAGACGCGGCCCCGACCTTCTCAAAACCAAGGAGGTCGACAGCAGAAGCAGAGGCTACAGAGGGAAGAAGGGGGGAAGGGGAACACCCCTCAAAGAAAGGGGTGCGGGGGTCGCCACGAGAGGCACCTACAGCGACTATGCTAGCCTCAGCTGCAAGCAGCTCCTTCTCGAGGAGGGCAATGGTGAGCTCAGTGGGGCAACGAGCTAGGAAGTGGTCCCTGACAGCACGCAGTGTGTCAGGGAGGCGGGTGACGAGGTGGTAGAGAGTGAGCCAGAGTGGAGGGGGGTGCGTGGCAAGGAACTCAGCGGGCATGGCGGCACGGAAGCGGGCCTCACTAGTACGGAGGTGCGTGATGAGGTCAGCGACTGTGTGGAATGAGGCCAGGTCGGGAAACAGGTAGGGGAGGGAGAGACGGCCTAGCGCGGCAGAGGCAGGTGAGGAGTAGCGGGCAACGACAGCGGTGTACAGTGCCTGTGCAGTCTTGTGCTGGCCAGAGTGCTCGCGCTCGTCTATCGGCAGGGAGTTGCGAATAGCGAAGCAAGCGTGGGCGTCACGAGTCTGCCACTGTGAGCGGGCAGTGCTGTCAAGAGTAGCAGCAGGAGCAGTAGCATGGCCGAGGGCGTGATTGTACAGTGAGATGTCCTCCTTGCAGTGAGCTGTAGGAAGAGATGTAGGTCATCTAGCCAGGTATCGAACTTCACTGGGCGGCCCTCAGCATCGAAAGCTAGCACAGGAGGGCTATCCATAGCAGCAGTAGAGTAGCAGTAGTTGCACCCTAAAAAACAGTAGGCAGGGGGGCTCGGTCCAGTACGGGCGGCGCGGCTCGGTTCAGGTAGGGCGGCTCGACTCGGGTAGGGCGGCTCGGCTGGGTTCGAGCGGCGCGGCTCGGTTCAGGCTGAGCGGCTCGGTTCGGGCAGCTCGGTTCGGGCTGGGCGGCTCGTGGGTGCTAAGGAGCGGCGCGCGGGTCGAGAGGGGGCCGACGGGGCCGCTAAGGGGCGGCTCGTGAGGTCGACGGGGCCGGCTGGGGCCCCTAAGTGGGGCGACGCGCGGGGTCGACGGGGCCAGCGGGGCCGCTAAGGGGCGGTACGTGGGGTCGACGGGGCCACTAGGGGGCGATGCGCGGGGCAACCGGGGCCGACGGGGCCGCTAAGGGGCGGCGAGCGGGGTCGACGGGGCCTCTAAGGGGCGGCGCGCGGGTCGCTAAGAGGGAGGCGGGTCGTGGGGCCTTAGGGGGCCGTGAAAAACGAGGCGCACGAGGGCGCTAGGGGGGGAGGCGCTCGAGGGCGCTCCGATAGTAGGGCGCACGAGGGCGCTAGTAGGTAGCAGTAGTGGTGGGCCCTAGGAATCGGTCCTAGCGGAGGACCTGCTCTGATTCCATGTTACGAACAAGAAGTTATTGCACTATGAAAGCTGGAGTACAAGTAGGAAACCCTAACTTTGTGTACCCCCTAAAGGCTAACCCACTATAGCCTACACAATAATAACACATATAGTGTTTGAATAGTAGCCTCAGGAAACTTGACGCGCCAGGCGTCGCTGAGCCGAGAGAAGCACCGGTACTCCGTGTGAAAGTCGTTGCATGGTCGACCAGCACAGGGATCTGTGCGAATGGTATCGGTGCAGCAAACAAGATCCCCAGACGCCCCACGCTGAGCGTACCAGTCATGAAGCTGCTGAGGCGTGGGGGTCTGACGTTGACGCTGCTGCTGCGGCTGCTGCTGTCCCTGGCCACCACTGGAGCTCCCCTTCTGACCGGCTCCACTCCAGCTCCCACCACCGCTGCCACCACTGCTCCCTCCTCCCCCACTCCCGCTGCTGCCACCTCCACTGCCCCCAGTACCCTCGCCGCCCCCACCACCACCTCCACCCCCACGACCACCCCCACCACCTCCACCACCCCCGCCGCCTCCACCACCGCCCCCTCTACCGCCACCTCCACCTCCCCTGCCACCCCTGCTGCCCTTGGCGCTGTAGCGCTTCCCACTAGGAGCGGAAGCAGCCCCGACCTCCTCAGCACCAAGGTAGTCGAGAGGAGCTGCAGCAGAGGCGTAGGAGGGGGCAAGAGGGGAGGGGGAGCACCCCTCAAAGAGGGGAGTGCGAGGGGTGCCACGAGCAGCACCTACAGCGATAATGTTCTTTTCAACTGCTAGGAGGTGCGTCTCGAAGTCGGCGACAGTGAGAGTGGTCGGGTCTAGGGCGAGAAAATGGTCCCTGACTGAGCGAATGGTGTCAGGGAGGCGGGTGATGAGGAACTAGAGAGTAAAGTACATAGGGGGGTGATTCTCGGCGAGGAACTCGTCTGAAAGGGCGACACGAAAGCGAGCGTCACTAGCGCGGAGGTGAGAGATGAGGTCCTCAGCGGTGGTAAACGAGGACAGGTCGGGAAACAGGTAGAGTAGCATGAGACGGCCTACGGCTGCAGTGGCTGGGGAAGAGTAGCGGGCAACTACAGCCTCATACAGTGCCTTAGCAGTCTTGTGCTGACTAAAGTGCGCACACTCAGTGATCGGCAGATGGTTGCAAATTGCGAGGCGCGCAGCAGCATCGCGAGTCTGCCACTATGAGCGGTGAAGAGCGGTAGTAGTGTCAGCAGGAGCAACGGAAGTGCCAGTCACGTAATCGAACATTGAAACTCCGTCTTTGGCATCAGTCAGAAGGAACAGTTGCAGGTCGTCGAGCCAAGTGGTAAACTCTATCGGGCGACCGTCGGAATCGAAAGCTAGGACATTGAGAGTCGTCATGAGTGCAGCGCAGGTGAGAGTAGCGCGTAGGCGGCAAGGCAGAGCACAGACAAGAGAAGCTGCGCATAGGGCGGCAGTGGCGGCGCAGAAGCTGCTGAGGCGGCACGCACGTGGCTAGGGCGGTGCGCAGGGCAGCGGCGAGGCGCGCGCAGGCTGCTGAAGCGGCGCGCGGGCGGGTAAGGCAGCCCGCGAGGCAGGAGCGGGCCGCGCTCGAGCGGCGGACGCGGCGCGCTAGGCAGCAGCGGGCTGGGTGGGCGGCAGACGCGGCGCGCGGGGCAGCAGCGGGCTGCGCGGGCGGCGGACGCGGCGCGCAGAGCAGCAGTGGGCTGCACGGGCGGCGGACGCGGTGCGCGGGGCAGCAGCGGGCTGCACAGGCAGCGGACGTGGCGTGCGGGGCAGCAGCGAGCCGCGCGCTGGCTCCTAAGGCGGCGCTCGGGGCAGCAGCGGGCCGCGCGCGGGCTCCTAAGGCGGCGCGCGGGGCAGGACCAGGCGGCACGCTCGGGACTAGGGCAGCGCGCGCAGGCAAGGCAGAGGCGCGCATGGGCAGCGCAGAGCAGGCAAAGCAAAACGCGCGCGGGCAGAGCAGCTTAGGCACGACGTGGGGCAGATCAGTCCTACGGATCTAGTGCTCTGAATACCATGTCAGAATGCTAGGCAGGAATCAATCAACTAGGAAAGTGTTGGGTACAAATATGAAACCCTAGAAGGCGCTGTACCCCATATTGGCTACTCCATTACAGCCTAAACATATATAGCATATATATAATTTGACAGAGTTGATTCGCGCTCAATCCAGCAGTGGTTATCGACGAAAATTGAGCCAAGTGACGACAGTGCCATGGTGAATTTTCTAGTCAGATGCAAGACCAAGTGGAAGAACAAATGAACACATGAACACATTTTTTTAAAGTTATTTGCAAAAGACTATGCTTTATAAGGACACCAAACTGGAAATGAGGGGAAAACCATACTTCTGTTGACTTCGGCCCCAAACGGGACGCATGAAGTGCTCGGCTAGGCCGAAACCGTTGATTTCAAACCCAAACCAAGTCGCACGTCCGTTCATTTTCAAACCCCCCAGACCAATTGACAGCTCTATTCTGGGATTGGCCAGGCACGGCTGAGAAGAAACGTACAGCTTGGCGGAAGGATGTGTACAGTACAGTTGGCTTCCTCAGGCCAAAAGAGGCACGCTGCTGTCCTGCAATTCAGGCCCTTCCCCAACAAGCAGCAACAAGCACATCAGACATGCATTCGAGTTGCAATTGCAAGCCAGAGGTTGTGGCGTGACCTCAAACCTCCCGAGCTACCCTCCCGCAATCGGACCTACACATCCAGCCCGATGCAACCTCGCGTTGGGAAGACAGTGAGTAATTTATTGTAGGAAGTAATATATCGGTCCTGTGGGCGAGAGTGTAAATCAGCCATGTCCCACCTAGCTCGAGTCTGCGTTTGCGCTATGTCGGAAGCTTTCAAAGCGGTTTCAAATATCAGCGAGAAACCTGAAAGACGAGCAGCGAGAGAATACGCAGAGCAATCGTCCGCAATCGATCGGGGCTAATAGTTGATCATGAAGATTGCGAGCGTGCATCACGCTGTTTTGCTCTTGTTGTTCGTAGCCGTTCGCACGTCGACCGGCTCACCTGAGGACAGCGGCGCGCCCATCCGCAATCCAACGCAGTATGAGGTTTTCGTGCAACAAACGCTGGCAGTGCCTGAAGACCTGAAGCGGCAGCACGCGGAGCGCATTCTGAGAGCGGAACGCGGCGAAATGGGAAGAAGCCGGCGTGGCGGGCGCGTTCTGGCCGACACAGGAATGAAGTTTGGTCTGTCGGCGCCGCCGCTCAGCTCGGGGCCGAGCATGGCGGTGGTGAACATGTCGTTCTACCGCTGGGAGAGCGTCGCGCCGCCGCCCGTCGTCGACTGGCGGAAGTCCGTCGCCATCACGCCCATCCAGACGCAATTTGTGGTGCGTACCTATCTGCTTCAACAGAGGTACTATGTCGGCTGCTTTCCTCGGAAGCAGCTCGCCAACCGCGATCAATGTATTCCCACCTCACCCACGCCCCTCTGCAGTGCGCGAGCTGCTGGGCGATCGCAGCCGTCGATTCCGTCGCTATGATGTGGGCCGTTGCCAACAACGCCACCGCCTCGTCGCTTTCGCCGCAGCAAGTTTGCGATTGTGCGACGAAGCAGTGCTGCCAGGGCGGCTGGCCCGACTGGGCCTTCTCCTACGTCTTAAACAATGGCGGAATCACGTCGAACAAGAACTACCCCTACCAGGCGTACGATTCCGCCACGTGTCTGCTCGACACATCCATGCCGTCTGTGGCGCAGATCACGGGGTGGGAGCTGGTGCCGGCATTCAACGCCATGGCGCTCATGAAGGCCGTCAGCATGCAGCCCGTCGTCGCCTTCATCAGCGCCTCCACCTCAGACTTCGCGGTACCGTGCTCCTGCCCATGTTCCTCTCCACAAGTTGTCGTTCTGCTCCTGGCTTCGCTCCTGTTGTTCCTGTTGCGTCTCCCGCTCTGAAAGTGCAATCTTCACCGCAACATCCCACAACCGCGTGCTTACAGACTCCTCGTTCCCGAGGAAACAACAGTCTGAGTCCCATGCGCGCGCGCTCTTTGGGCTCCGAGCCACATACGCAAGCTCCGCGGCACCTACTGAAACCGTTTCCCGACTCCCACGATTCCCGACTCCTCACATTGCCTGCCTTTCTCTCAGATGTACAAGAGCCGCGATGTGCTCAGAATCTACGACGGCGTGTGCTCGACGGAGGTGAACCACGCGGTGGTGGTGGTGGGCTTTAACTACACGGGGCCGGACCTCAAAGGCAGCTACTGGATCATCAAGAACTCGTGGTACACCACGTGGGGCGACCGCGGCTACACGTACCTCGCCATGACGCCCGACGTGCGCGGGAAATGCGGCATCCTATCGTACGTTTCCCGTGTTTGCGCTCAACCGTATTAGCAGAACTTGACAAGCACCACGTGCAAGTTTACTTAGCTTCTTTCCTCTCTTCCACCCACTTGCCTCTTACTTCAGCCGTTTTCTAATACTTCCCCATCCGCTGATGCACTCTTGCCACCTACTCCGCCTTCCCTGCAGCATTCCTGCTATGTACCCGGTTTACTACCCGAGCGGGCCGCAACCCGCCCGATTCTGTTCCGACACACGCGGCAAGTGGAATATCAACAAGGTGGACGACCTCTCGTCGTCGCTCTTCTCCTCCGCCCTCTCCACGGATAGCAGTAGTACCACCACGCTAACTACTTCCACGACTATAACGACGAGTTCCACCAGCGTCATGCTTGCGTCCGTCACTGGCACATCGACGGACGCATCCTCGCTGCTCATCAACTCGACGACCAAGTCGGCGTCACAGATAACTGCGTGCGCAGGGATAATCAATCCTTGTGGCGGCGGGAGTTGCTACATGCTCGGTGGAATCGCGCGATGTGACTGTGGCTTGCTGTCGAATATGGTTGAGGTTATGGGAGTGCCCACGTCGAAATGTGCGCCTCAGAATCCGTGCACAAATTCGCCCGTGAACCCTTGTCGCGGCGGGACATGCATGGACGTGGGAGATGGGACGTACACATGCACATGCGCTTCGGGATACGCCATCGGAACTGCGGTGGATGGTTCGACAACCTGCTTGCCTGCTGCTGGTCTTACGAAGTCGTATGTTACACTACCCGGCGATAACTGCACGCTGGTCGCGACAGAATTCGGGATTTCAACAACCACCCTATCGGCACTGAACCCGTTTATCAACTGCTCCGTTACGGAATACTTGCCTCCGGGTGTTGGGCTGACTGTTTCAAGAGCACTAACAGCCACATCCACGTTCTGCACAAGCACATACACGGTTCAACCTTCTGACACCTGCAATTCCATCGCCCACCTTTTCTTTGGTGGTTCTCTCACAGCACTAGACAACCTAAATCCTGGATTGACGTGCAACCGTCTCTTTAAATCACAACAAATTTGCCTTAAAGCGGATTCATCATCATCCACCACATCGGGTCCACAGTGCGGACAGAGCGTTGCAGTGGTCATGGGTGATACGTGTGCTTCTGTCTCCATCAAATACATGATCAGCTCCTCAACCTTCAGCTCGTGAGTTTTGACTCCTAGATCTCACCTTTGTTTTTGTTTTGCTCGTTTGACTGATGTTCTTGCCTTAATTGCTCTTTCTCTTCATGTATTGGCTACTGTTCTCTACCTCCCCGACATCCATTGCAAGTATTTCAGGTGTTTCTATCGTGTATGTCTTCTTTCTTTTCCAATACCTCCCATGCAGACTGAATCCAGGTCTCAACTGTGACAGCCCACTGCTGGTTGGATCCTATGTCTGTGTGGCACCAAAATCATCAGATGTAAGCATCAGCGTGATAGTTTTCATTTCATTTGTTAATAACCTTTCTGCCCCTCTCTTGATCAGTGGCAAGTTTGTTGTCTACTAGCACCTTTTCATTCCTTCCCTTATCATTCCGTTTTCCCCTTGCCCCCTTTTTTCTCCCTCGTCGTCTTGCTTTCCCTTATCTCTGTCTCCTTTCCCCTGTTATATCCCCCCTGTGGTTTCTGTCACCAGACCGCCATCAGCTGCACGGGGTGGTACTGGCAGGGCGTATTGCCGCTTCTCTTTTCTCATCTTTGTCTCGTCCTCCCCCCTCATCCCCCCTCTGGCCGTCCCCAGACCACCATCAACTGCACGGGGTGGTACCGGGTGATGCAGGGCGACACATGCCCCTCCATCTGGAATGGAGCCAACCTCACCATGTCCATGTTCCAAGCCATCAACCCGGGCATTCAGGTGAGCCATCAACCTGGGCGTTCAGGTGAGCCATCAACCCGGGCATCCAGGTAAACCATGAACCCTGGCATTCAGGTACATGCCTTAGGCTTCGCAGACACATGCAGGCAAACGATCAACCCCAGCATTCAGGTGAGCCATCAACCCTTGCATCCAGGTAAACCATGAACCCTGGCATTCAGGTACATGCCTTAGGCTTCGCAGACACATGCAGGCAAACCATCAACCCCAGCATTCAGGTGAGCCATCAACCCGGGCATTCAGGTGAGCCATCAACCCTTGCATCCAGGGAACTTCCTTAGAAGCTTCATGTACAGGTGAGCCAACGACCCCACTTGACATATCAGCCCATACCCCAGCATCCAGATGAGCCATCCATCCTGGTGTCCAGGCGAGTTTCCTAAGCCTCACATACCTGGTCATACCACCTCGTACTGGTCCATCGCCCATGCCACTCCATCCGCCCCATACCACTCCATTCCGCTCCATGCCACTCCATCCGCCCCATACCACCCCATTCCGCTCCTTACCACCTGATAGAGCCCATTCCAACCCATACTGGCCCATACCACTCCAGAGCCTCATACAACCCCATACTGGCCCATACCACTCCAGAGCCTCATACAACCCCATACTGGCCCATACCACTCCAGAGCCTCATACAACCCCATGCTGGCCCATGCAACCTCAGTTTCCATGTTGCTCACTCCATCCATGACATACGGCAGAGCTCTCTTAGACTCTCACTAGCCCGCATGTGCTTCGTTGACCACTTGACCATCCACCCCCGTGCTGCTCTCACTGCTGCCATCTTTCACACTTTTCCTTCTCTCCGCATCCATTGCCAGCCTGCCTCCCTCTTTTCATTCACACCTTCCATTGCCAGCCTCCTTACCTCTCCTTCCTTTACTGTCCTCCCTTGCTCCCCAACTCCCCCCCTCTTCCATTGTTGCAGTGCCAGGCGCCCTATCTGGTGGTGGGCCAGCAGGTGTGCATCGACTCACCCGTCCTCACCACCATGCAGCGAGCTCCCAACACCTCCTACTCCATCTACACCGTCCGCCCCAACGATACCCTCTCCACCATCTCCTCGCTCTTCCTCCCCCGCTGCACACCCACCTCTGTCTCTCCCGAGTCCATCGCCGCACAAAACTACATCTCCGATCTATCTGCCCCTCTGGCGCCCGGCACGAAGCTGATCATCCCCTGTATAGGCCGCATCGGTATGGTGGACTGCGGCTGTGCAGCCTCTATCCCGGTCTGTGGGTCGGACTTTGTCAGCTACCCCTCATACTGTGATGCTCTCTGCAACTTCGCACTTCCAGCTCTCCCCGATAGCTTCTGCACCGGGGCATGTGGACCCGCATGCCAGGGTCGTATGGGCCTTGCCCCGGTTCCTAACTCCGGCTGCACCAATGCCATATGCCCGTATCCCAGCTGGGCACCGGCAGAGTCAATAGACTGTGCCAAAGTGGTGGACACGAGCTCTGGTCCCTGCTGCAGTTACAGGGAGAACACCTGCAAGCAGCAGTGCACGCTCACTGCAGCTGGATTGGGTGGAACAGTGGCTCAGAGGAACAGCAGCTATAATGATTGCTACAGCCAGTGCATGTGCTGCCAGGCTACAGGCTGTGGTGGTGCAACGTGCAAGGCACCATCGGCGTGTTGGAATGCCAGGCCTCGCAAGTGCGTGTTTGTGAACTACAGCTATGTGTGGAACTGCACGTGGTTCCCTGCTGGGAACCCCTTGCCCTAGAGCAGATTTTATGAAATTCATATCCTATTTATTATGCATTTTGTTGGGCTGAAAACGCCCTTAGGATCTTTACAGAGGTGAATTCTGTTCTTGTTGGGCTGAGTGCCCCTTAGGATCTTTGGTAGAGTTAAAGTTTGAGTGAAGTGATGTAGTAGCGGAAGCGTTTCAAGTGAAGTCCTTGAACCACCTTGCGCTAGTATGTGAGGGCAAAGTAAGTTGATTAAAGCAAAGAGATACAAGAATATATATATATGAATACAGAGAATATGAAGAGACATAATTAAAACTACTTTACTGTTGCGGTTCGATACAGTGCGACTCGGGCAACTGCTCAATGTCGAGTCAGTTGTGTGTCCTTGCTGTCGCGCTGCATTTGTCAAGTCAAAGGTCGCTGACCTTTGACTTTCGCGTAACCTCCAGCGGTTACATCAACCTCCGAGGGTTGACTCGCTGGTGCCTCGATATGCGCAGCTTCGCTTGTGTCTTGGTGTTTCGACACGACAGAGGCGCTTAAGATTGTTTGTTCCCAACACTCCCCTTCGCTTCTGGAGTGTCGCTGATGGTGACGTGGCTTTGTCCAGTCAGCAGCATGCAGTACTCGAACTTCTGTTTTCCGAGCTTCTTGGTCAAGTAGTCAGCTGCCATCTCGGACGTGGGACAGTAGGATAGTTCAAGTTTCCCCTTCTCGATCTCGTCTTTCACGAAGAAATATCGCAGAGCGATATGCTTTGTTCTGTTCGCGAGTCCACTTTTGTTGGCGATGCGAATCGCAGATTGGTTGTCGCAAAATAGAGTGAAGTTGGGTACCTCGGCTAACTTCGCTTCTTCCAGCAGCTCGCGAAGATAGAGTCATTCCTTGGTGGCTGAGCAGAGTGCAATACATTCTGCTTCAGCTGACGAGAGAGCGATTAGTTCCTGCTTGCTCGATTGCCAGGAGATCGGTCCGATAGGTTCGAGGCGGTAGACGTAGCCAGTGCAGGAGCGCCTATTGTCTGAGTCGCCAGCGTGATCGGCGTCGACGTAGCCGATTAATTTCGTCGGTGTAGTTGTGTTCTTGTAGTAGGTCAGACCGATCGTAGAGGTACTGACAAAGTAGTGGAGAGCGCGGTCGAGCTCCGCCAGGTGTTCTGCTTCAGGTCTTTTGAGGTAGGTGGCGAGTTGACTTGCGGAGTAGGATAGATATGGGCGGCAGGTAACGGCTGCGAAGAGAAGGCAGCCCAGCTTTCTCTGGTAGTCGCGTATCCCGGTGGATTTGAGTAGAGAGGATCCTTCATTGTGGTTTCTTGTCGTGTAGCGGTAGGGCGTAGAGATGGTGGTAGGTGTCACCGCAAAGCGTTTGGCGATGGTGTCGGCGTACTTAGCGGCGTTGAGGTAGATCGCGCCTTCTTCCTCCCGAATGTTTAAGCCGAGGTACTATGTGACGGTAGAGGAGACCGTGAGTGTGAGGTCCCTCTGTAGCTCCCCTTCGAACCAGGTGGTGATGTCGTCAGTAGAGCCGATGTAGAGTAAGTCGTCTACGTAGACGATCAGCAAAATGTAGTCGGTGTCTTTGGTGAGTCAGTACATCCCTTGGTCGTGAGGCAGTTGGCGAAATCCGATGCGAGTGAGGCGAGCGTGTAGGTACTGTTGCCATAGCCGCGGAGCTTGCTTGATCCCGTAGAGTGATTTCAGCAGTTGACAGACTTAGTTCGGTTCCCCGTGGGTACCGTGTGGGAGCTCGACGAAGATTTCCGCGTCGACAGGTGCGTAGAGGAACGCGTTGGCGACATCGATTTGCCGTAGCTTCTTCTTCTTCATAGCGGCGATCGCGAGGAGAATTCGAAGTGAGGTATGTCGGCTGACCGGGGCGAAGTCCCGTCCGTGCTCTTGATCGAATCCACGCACAACCCAGCGTGCTTTGAATTTCTCAATTGTGCTGTCTGCTTTCGTTTTAATGCGGAAGACCCATTTCCCGGTGAGAATGGTCTTGTTCCTTGCCACGCTGATGGGTACAACTTTCCAGGTGTTCCGTTCCTCCAACGCCTTTAACTCTCTGTCCATAGCTTCACGCCATTTTTCCCTGTGTTCCCCCCCCAGAGCCTGCTGAACCGTCGCAAGCTCCTTAGGGAGAGTGGTGTCGTGGACTGCGGTGACGAGGCCGAGAATCTGCAGTCCAGTCTGTGAGTAGCGGGGAAGAGTTGCGTCCTCGGGATAAGCTGCTTCATCTCCCGCTTCTTGGTCGGGTATGAAATTCGGCCCTATCCGTTCTGCTTCGTTGGTGTTGACTGTCGCAAGTGTTACGTAACCGTTGTCGGCGAAGTAGTAGAAGACTTCGGCGTTGGCGCTTTCGCGAGGGTTGTCTTCGTCCATGGGGACGTTGACGGAGCAGAACGGGAGAGGTCCGGCTTCTTCTGATGCGTTGTCCACATTCTGCTCGTCCCAGTCTGCTTCGTCTGCTGCTGAGGCGAGGGCTCGGTCACCACGAAAGCCACCTGTGGGATCTTCATTTTCTTGCAAGTTGGCGAGGTACGTTTGAAGCGTGAGTCGTTCGTAGAAAATTACGTGACGTGCTGCTACTGTTTCCTTGGAGTGGACGTCGAAGATTTTCCACGCGTTGTAGTTCTTTTCGATGCCGAGGTGTAGTCCCCACTGTGCGCGCTGTGAAAATCGTCCCGCTCGTGCTTCTGGGGGTCGGTACTGTATCATGCACCCGAAAACTCGTAACATTTTTCTGCTGCCCTGTTTCCCTGTCCTTAGCAGATGCGGTGACGCGTTGTTTGGAAGTGAAGACGATGACATCAAGTTGTGCAGCATAACAGCATGGTCCATTGCTGTAGGCCACTGGTGGTTGGGTAGCCGCATGCCACGTAACAGTTTGCGCATGCTGTTCTGCAGAGTCCTGTTCATTCTTTCTGCCACACCTTGCTGCTGATGGGCGTAGGGAAGAGAGAGGAGCTGCTTGATTCCCCTTTCCGCCAGGTACTGCTTGAATCGCTGAGAAGTGTATTCTCCCCCTCCGTCTGACTGGAAGCTTTTCAGATGTACGCCCGACTCTCTCTCTGCTACTGGTAGCCAAGCAGCGAAGGCTGCGAGTGCCATGTCGCGGCTAGGTAGGTTTAGGTGCCAGACGTAACGGGTGGCAGCGTCGATGAAGGTGATCGTGTAATTGTATGTAACTTGTCCTGGTTCCCGATTGAACAGGATATCGCTGTACACCTTCTCGAGTGGTGCGTACGCGGGTGCGCTCGGGTTGTGATGAGGAATGAACGGCCGATGTAGTAAGTCGGCTTCGGGGCAGGTAAGACAAGTTCCTCGAGCTCGTTGAAGTTCTCTGCCGTCGAGTAGTAGTAATGAGTCCTTGTCAAGGACTCCTGCTCTTATTGTGTTGTTTAACACAGTGTTGCTTGGGTGTCCCATGCGTGCGTGCCAGATATCTTCGGAGGCGCGGTGTCCGAGTGAGCGTCGATACGCGTCGGAGTTGGAGTAGAAGCTGGCGATGAAGTTTGCGCTTCTGTGGACTTACCGTTGAGTCGGATTCAGCTGTTGTGCGGGTGTTGGTGGTGCTTCGTCAACGAGGACTAGTGTCGTTGTTCCTGCTGATGCCGACAATGTTTCTGCTGCTGCCGATGTTGTCTCTGCTGCTGCCGATGATGTTTCTGCTGCTGCTGATGTTGTCTCTACTGCTGCCGATGTTGTCTCTGCTGTTGCCGATGTTGTCTCTGCTGCTGCCGATGTTGTCTCTGCTGCTGCCGAATGTTGTATTGTTACTAACGCACGTGTTTGTTCTGCTTCAGGAATGGTATGTGAATACCAGAAGCCTTTCGGACTGAAGTCGGGGTCGAGATTCGGCGGGTGCGTCCAGGATGTGAAGGTGACGATCCCGTCACTGTCTGCGGTGCCCAGGTCTGGGACGAAGTCGAGGACGAAGACATTGTTCTTCAGAATCACCTTTCGGATGTAGAGGCCGCCCTTCCCGTGGTACAGTTTGAACTCTTGGGTGGTACTGTCGGCTTCCAGATGTATGCCTTTCGCCATCAACTGACTAACGCTCAGTAAGTTGTAGCCAAGTCCTTCTTCTATCAGGACTTTTGACATTTGTAGTACGACATTTGTCTCTCGTGACTGAAGTTGCACTACCCCTTGTCGTCGTGTGCGCAGGTTCTGGTTGTTGACGACAGTGATGACGACTTCTCGTTGAAGTTGGTGCTCGCGTTGAACGAAACGTCCTGAAGAGCACATGTGTTGTCCGCAGCAACTGTCCAAGAACCATGTATCCTTCCCGGACGGCTCGCTTTGGGCGATGGCGGCGTAGATCGGGTTTGGTTGGAGTGACTCGCGGCGAGGCGTACCGTTGTCGAGTTGTTCTTATGGTGAGTAATATGGTGGTGACTCAGTTACGCAGGAGTCACTCAGCCTTGCCATGCAGCTGACGCTGTTTCTTGTTTCTTTTGCAGGTTGTCCCGTTGATGCTGTTGAGACGTGGACTGAAGTTGTCGGGTTTGCTTGCGTTGAAGCGACTTGACTGCTTGAAGGGCGAAATTGGTGTTGTCGATTTGGGCAGTGCGTACGAGGGTGCCCTGAAGTCTTGCAGAGGTGGCAGAACGGAGGTATAAATTTCGGTCGATTGTTGTTGTTGTTGTAGCGCCGTTGAGGGTGAAACGCGAATTCGGGCACTGACACCTTTCTCCTTTGTCGTTCTTCTTGCAGGTCCATGTCTTGCTGTTCGGCGTGGATTTTGGCGCAAAGTGCCGCTTCAAAGATTTTCCCGTGGGCTCGTAGTATGGCGCGAGTGGAGCGCCAGTGAGGACCAAGACCGCCGATGACAACCGTGACGAAGGCGTCCTCTGAAATCGATCCTCCACATCGAAGAAGCTTGTTGCGCAGCTCGCGGCAGCGACTGATATACGCCATTCCCTTCTCGCCCGATTTCATTTCGATGGTAGTTAGCTGCGCCATTAACCGACTTTGGTTTACGCTGTCTGTTGCTCGATACAGGATCTTCAAGTGATTGTACGCGAGCT